CGCTGGCTGGGATTCTGCGGAGGGAAGGAGGCCGGGGCGGGCGGCGGGCGAGGAAACATATCTCCGAGGCAGCTTCCTTCCCATCCTCTCCCCTTCTCCTGGGGCCTGTGTGAACCCGCCATGTCCGGAGAAGCTCCCGCCGGCGACCAGGTGAGTAGGCAAGGCCTCCCGAGCTGAATGGGCCGCTTGGCCGGGAAAGGAGAGCCTTGAGAGGATGACTGAGGCCCCGGGGAGGGAGAAACACCCCTTATTTCTTTCTAGGAGGGTGGGGGAATGGGCCTGCTTCTGACTCGCACGCCTCTCTTTTGTACTGGTTTCTATCCGTTCTATCTCCCTTCTCTTTTTCACTCTCAAATCATACAGGTCCTCTTTTTACGTTTATAAACTCTTCCTCTGCACTTCAGTTCTATCATGATTTAGGATACATACTCACTGCAGAAATAATCCAGGTTGAGATCGCTTTAACTACTGTGGTCCCGTGCTGTGGAATTCTGAGAATTGTAGTTTGTTAGGGCACCGCTCCCAGAATTCCACAGCACGGGGCCACGGCAGTTAAAGTGGTCTCAACCCGGATTATTTCTGCAGTGTGCATGCAGCCTTTTAAGTGTTTATTTAGAAACAAGCCTCACAACATTCTGTGGTCCCGCAAAAGATAATTAAAGATAATTTTTTATTTACTCGCGTGTAAGAGACACTGAGATCCTATCCACACTGCAGAAATCATCTGATTTGGCGCTGCCAGTGATAGGGAATCCTGGGAACTGTAGTTTTGTGAAACGTTTAGCCTTCTCTGTTTGATGCCACAATAAACTACAATTCCTAGGATTCCCTAGCACTGAGTCAGGGCAATTAAAGTGGTCTCAAACTGGATTATTTCTGCAGTGTATTTTGGACCTTTGTTCGGGAGAAGGGTTAATTTTCAAATACACATGCGTAGCTTTACAGCCTTATCGTGCTATCTCTTCCTGGAATAAATTACTGGAAAGCAGAGGAGGTATTTTTCTAATTTCTGGGTGTGATATAATGAAGAGTACATAGAACATTCTGAACGTTCTGCCTATTGGCATTACATTCTCAAATTAGAAAATGATAAAGGTAATACATTTGCTTCATGATGAAAGGTTATATATGGACACAAAGGCTACCCTATGTACTTCATTTGTATGTGAAGTAAAATTGAGTTTGAGGCATTCTGAAATAGAAATTCAGCTGGCAAAGTGTGGACCTGTTAATAAATGTTATCAACTTACAGAAATATTACTGTGTCCTTCATGAACAACTTCATATTGTTTGTGTGTGTGTGTGGTTGTATTTTACTATGAAATGTAAGTGATATCCACGATAGCTGAAGATGGAAAGTAGTAGCCGGGGTATTGGACACAGTAGAACAGTCTTCAGTTCATTATATTTTTCCTATATGGAAACACACTGACTATGGAGGAAACTACATTTGAAGCTGAGCACAGGACCAGAGAAGGACATGGGATTAAATTCTTAAAAGAAAAAAAACCCCAAGAATTTCACTAGGCTTTCACAAGGCTTTACAAGAGGCAGAACTGTTCTTTGTATGGTTCTAATCAGTTTTGTAGGCACTTTAAATTTTCTGTTCACGAAATTAACATAGAGGTCTTACTTTTTAAAAGTAGTATTAGTTATTTTCTTCAATACTTTTTAAATATATCCTTTCATATAATAACAATGCTAGTTTCTATGAAAATGATAACTTCCTCTTGCATATCTTTTTGGATTTTCAGTAGTTTTTGGCCTGGTGGCTAAGTTTTCCAAGTTATGTATCCTTGCACATGGCCAAAAGAGCACAACCATTCTATGTTTTGCTTCTCAACTTGCCTGTTTTTATGAGGCAAAAATGCATCTACACCTTTCACCTTATCATGAAATAAGTCTCTTTCTGGGAGAAATGCGGCATAAAGATGATGATGATGATAAATTTGCCATGTCACACATTTTCCATCACTGCAACACTGTAAAGTTTATTCATCTGTTGAGATCATATAAATTTAATGGTCCACCAAATTTGGATTTGGGACTATCACCTGGGGTTAACAGGCTGATTTTCACAAGCTGAATTTAGAGGGAGGGAGCATCTTCAAGTTTAGTACAAGAAGCCAATTTGGTGTGTCATGGTAGTACCATTTGATTATTTGCTGTACTCTTTTTGGCAACTGCCAAGTCCTGTGGAAACTCATAACATCATGGTTACTTACAAGAACTACTCTGCTGGATTAGACCAAAAAGTACAGTACATTTTATTCTCACACACCAAGCATAAAGGCAATAGTTCTCTCCTGTTGTTGCTTCCAGCAGCTAGTCATAACATACTGTGTGTAGAGCTGAACATTCCCTGCCTTTCACTCACTTCTACACTGTGAGGATAGAGTTGGGCCAAAAGCAGTAAGGCCATTTCTCAGGTTGCTAAAGTTTGGATGAAAGGTTGGGTCAGGGAGAAGTATTGAGGGTCATGTACTTCATGTATGTTTTGTGATAGTGAACTAAGGGGTGCAGCTAGAAATTGGTTCTGATTTTCATGTGATCATTGTGCATCCCAGAGTGCCAGTAAGATTATCTTGGGGTATTATACTGCAGGTGTTTTTTCAAGTGCACTTGCCTGACTCATTGCACTGACCTAAGAATGGCAAGTTGGGAGGCAGGGATAAAGATGAGTCAAGGACTATTTTTCAAAAATATTTATAAATCTGATCAGTGGTTTAATTATTTAGATTTAGAGATGGAAGGTGCCAAAAACGTCATATTTTGTGACAGAAGCAAAATGTTCTCAGTATATTTATTGGATTCCTTTTCTCTTGAAAAACAAATTTTTTTCATTAATGTACATACATATCTTAGAGTCATCGCCTTAAAAGATAGCTTGTCTGTTAATACAGGCCATCTTCTTGTGTGTATCTATGTGCCTTCAAGTTTTAGACAGCTCCCATTAATTTCATAGGGTTTACTTAGGCAAGGAATACTCCCAATCATTCCTCTGAAATGTAGCCTGAAGCACCTGGTATTCATTGGTGGTCTTCCATTCAAGTTCAAACCAGTGCTTAACTTCCAGGGTGGGATGGAATCTGGTGCCTTTTAGGAGATGTAGACCAAAAACATCCTAACAGTGCTTTTTGTGTTGTTAAATGTTGAGGACCTTTCCCCCTAGTGTACTGTTTTTGTGCCTGTTGGCTAGAGCTGCTTCATGTTTTCTTGGAATCTCTGCAGATGAGAGAGCAGCATCAGTCCATTGATCAGTACTGAATAGGGCTTCCCTGCAACGTGCAAGTCTGAGTTGATATGATCTAAAGTTGGACTGAGCAAAGTATGGCCTGTGTTGGCTGTATGTGAGCCCCCCAGAGCTGTTTGAGTGGCTCTCAGGGTCGCACAGTTGTCACAAAATCTTTTGCTTCAAAATTCCTTCAATTTGTGTAAGGGGCCCTTGGACCACATTTGGAGCCTCCCTGGACACACACACCCCAATGAAAACTATTCTATCTCTCAAAATGACCCAGAATTTCCTAGAGAGCATTTATTAATGTGGCCATCTTAATAATGTCCCCTGAGCAAGCTGAAGAAAAAATCTTTCATTCTACCATACACTTCACATGTTGGCATCTCTGCTTGGGTCCTCACTCTACTTACTATTTTTTCTGTGCTGGAACACTAGGAAGAAAAAGGCCATATTTTTTTTCACTATTTTCAATTTTTATAAAGGTTTGGGCCATTAAAATGGATTCTGATTATGTGACAATCATTTGTTGCATCAGTTATTGCACAGACTTTAAGAAATGCATCTATTAAACAGCTTTCTTCAATTGATGAATATAGCATGTTCCATTGTTAACTGGGAACAGTGTACTAAAATACCACTGGTACAATATCACTATACATCCACAGCTCAAAGTACCTGTGATCTGTTTCAGGCTTCAAGTTTGGAGGTTTCCTCCACTTATCAACT